TTGAATACTCAGAAGCAAATATTCATGGCTCATCAGTTAATACCAGAATTCAGCTGCCCTTAATAAAATCATGGCACATCTACAGCGTCAATAAACTATAATATAGGGAAGAATTAAAGAGCTTTTTTTATATTTGTCCCATATCTTGGTTTCTCCTTCATTACACGGGATGAATTAACATGTGATATATAGAAACCTAAAACAATGTACGCAATTTCTTTGCAAAGATAGCAGAATAATATTTTCTTTTACTTTCTGACGAATAAAACTTGTTTCATCTACATCTCCATATCAGAACATTTGACAATGGAAAGTGCAAAGAAATGCTGTGACCTTGATAGAGCTAACCATTTTTTTTCAGTTTTCAACATAAAAAACGTTTTTTAAAGGTCATTTAAGCCACACCTCTGCCATGAGTAGGAACACCTTCTCCTACTCTTGAAACCTAGAGGCATATCCCAAACTTCTCTGGGATGTATGTTCCATTTTCTCACAATCCAAACTTGAAAGATTTCCCCTAATCAAAACTTCCCTTCTCTTAGATAAAAACACTTCTCTACTGACCTATGACCACTGGCCCTGGTAAAAAGAACTCTGCCAATATTTCCTGTGACTGCATTTGTAAATTGGAAGAGCAAAAAACCCCAAAAGAACACTGCCAAAAGTCTACACACAGGGATCTTTTCCCCATGATACAACACCTAAACTCCTTCAGTCCTTCTGCACAGCTCACATCTTCCAACCCTCAGACCACTTCCATCATTCTTCTGGACACTCCACCATGGCCACTTGGGATATTGGCCAAAGATCTGCATGCACTCTACAATCTCACAAAAAGATTTGGGAGTGGAGGAAGGACCTGCTCCGACCTGCTGCTGGGCAGAGTACTTCTCATGCAGTGCAGGACACCATTGCAGCAGCAGGTGCCCGCTGGCACCTCATGTCCCATCTTATCACCCACCAAGAACCCAAAGGACTTCTCTGCACACCTCTTCCCTCTCCCCTACTCTCTGTGTAAACTGGGGATTGCCCTAACCCACGTGCAGGACCCGCCAATTGGCCCTCTTCAACTTCAGGATGTTTGCATGGCGCCACTTCTCCAGCCTGTCCCTTGCTGGCATCTCTGCCCTCTCGTCAATCAACTCCACTTGCTGTCAGATGAAAATTTTCTGAAGGTTCACTCAATCCCATTGTCCATGAAGCCACTCAGCAGGACTGGTCCCACTAAGGAAACTTGAGGGACAGCACCACTTACTGCTTTCCACCTGCACATTGAGCCACTGTCTATAACTCTCCAGCCATGACTCTCCAGCCTGTTCCTCAGCCATTTAACAGCCTCCAGATCACTGCCCAGCAAGTTCCTCTGCGTGATGATGTGGGGGACACTGCACACGTTCTCCCACTGGCCCCTGCTCTGTCCCAGAAAGTCTTGGCTGGGCTGGGTGGCCTCTCTGCACTTGGACGACTGCAGCAGAGAGGATTCTGCATCATTACACTACAGACAAAGTGTTCCTGGCTGAGTACACATGTGCTTAGGAAACCCTTCCTCTTTACACCTCTAAACATGTCAGGTATGTGAGGGAACTGCACCTGCACTCGGACAATTGGGACACAGGAGACCTTACACAGAAGATCAGACACGCTGAGCTTCAGCTCATGACAAGCAATGCAAGAGTTACAAACACATAGAAATTAACAGAGGCAAGAACACTTTGTAGGCCTCCCTTGCTCTACACAAACAACTCAAAGCACACCCTACTCCATCAGGCACAGCCTTGGGGGATCCATGACATGGGACAAGCAAGGCAATGACCCACTTCTTCTCTGGCCTCACACTCACAGCTCCCCTCTCTTCTTTTCCTTCTTCACCATGCAACTGGAAGCTTTTGCTTGTGGCCATCTCCTCCCTGGGCACATTTATCAGGAGATGATAATGCACTACAGCCACAGCCAGAAGGGAGGGACATTTCTCTGCTCACCACTGGTATGAGAAGGAACTGAAGGATTCCAAAGCACACAAATGATAAACAACCACTAAAAGATTAGCAGTCATCCAATGGAGAATGGCTCATCAAACCATTGGCTTCCAGGGAATCTCCTCCCTGTCCTTTTCACATGTTCTGTTCCATCCAGGTGCAACACCCACTAAAGTCATATTTATTACATCTATTTCTGCCAACAGTAACAGAACAGAAAGTCACTCTCATATCTCCTGCCTTCCACACCCACTGAACAAGAGAAGGAGATACTAACATATCATAGATTGCTGAAAAAAGATGGGTTATGGATAATATAAAGTAGGTCTAAACACTGAGTAAATATAGGCAACACAACACTGAACAGATCACAACTAAACTTACAGAAAACCCAAACCATTAATCAGATAAGGCAAGGAGGTATTAGAAGACAACAAGTTGTCAGAGATAATCACAATAAAGTCTTCTAGGCCTTTATTTCAGGCCCTAGAATTCATCCCTGAGAGCTCCTGGAATTTCCCAAGGTCTCCAGCTGCAAGTGTGGCCCTAAAGAATTTCACTGCACAGAGGATAGGGGGCTTCAGTTGAAGAATTAATCCTCAGCTCAGCGAGCTTTTTCTACTGCATGGCCTGCTAAACTTGCACAAATATAAAACCAGCATTTTAAACAGCTTCTCCTCAGCCTCTTCTTCAAGTTAAATCTTCTGACAAATTACAACAGATTCTCTTATTGCGTCTGATTCCTATTCTTCCTATTCCCCACACATAGTTCCTTCCTGGGTCACTGAAATAAGAATGTGCTGAACAACCACTGCTTCAATTTTCGAAGTACTGAATTGTTAAAATGAGCTGCAGCCTTTCTGCAAAGGAGGGCCTGAATGAAAGTGCAATTAGAACTCTGAAGAAATTCTAGATCACAATGTTGCATAGAGAAACAGATGGATAATGGAGGTTTCACACACAATTAATTATTGTTCCACACAGGAATTATGGCTCTATATGTACAGTTCCACACAGAGAAAACACCACCTTGGGAAATGAATATTTATGAAATTGAATTTCTTAAATGTAATATTCAGTGTCAAGCTGGGTGGGGCTCTGAAGAAGCTGCTCTGCTGGAAGATGTCCCTGCCCATGGCAGAGGAGTTGGAAGGAGACAATCTTGATGCTCCATTTCAACACAAACCATTCTCTGAATCAGTGTTTCTGGGATTCTATGATTTCATTCAAAGCTTCAAGATACGGATGACAGACACTCTCCCTCCAGGATAATTTTATGGTCTAGAGCTTGAAGGATTTCCAGGCACAATGAGGATCAATTTTACTCCTTGAGACAAAAAAAAAAGCAATAACAAGCAAACAACCAACCCAACCAAACCCAACCCAAACCAAACAAATCAGCCAAAAAAAGTTAAACAACCCAGCCAAGAATGGAAAAACACCAGCAGAGTATCCATCATGGCCTCACATTTCAGATTGTCTCAACTGTACCACATACACAACACAGGAAACTCAATTGTAACTAATGCACATGAGGCTTCACACAGGAGCTCACTACACAGACACCAGACACTCATTTCCTTGCATAGGAAGACAAAGAAAAACCTTGGAACCACAGCTCTCAGCCTCGTCTAACTACAAGGACAAATAGACCTTGACACCATTCATTCATTCTTTTGGAACTATATCACAGTGAACGCCAGCACCAGCCATGTCTCTGCATAGACAGACTTCTTCCCACTGTCCAAACAGAACATGAAAGCAAAGATTGAATAAAGACATCACTAAAAGAAAACTTGTGATAACAGCGTCTCAGATACCAAGCATCACAAATGAGATTATGCTGTTCCTCCCAGTTATTGGAACAAGTGTAAAATGTTACATAGGCCATCAATTTTCAGCAGCTCTGGCAAAGACCCAGCCATCCAAGGATCACCTCAAAGCCAACATCACCATTCTTCACCACATGCACTCCTCACAACATGGGTGACCACCATTCTTGATGCAACAGAATATGGAACACAAACTGTGCCGTTTGAGCCAAAACCACAAAAGAGAAAAGCAGGACACTCCTCCTGACTCATTTCCATCAGGTCAGCAATAGCCCTGGACATCAACACAATGCATGCCATATCTCCTCCACTACCTCCTCACACACCACATCCACAACACACCCCAATAACCCTTCACAGCTCACACGGTTATCACAGATCTTCAGAATTTACACAGACTCCAACAAAAGGAAAGTTGTGAAGACAGAATCCTCTGATCATGGATAATATTTCACTTCTCACACAAGCCACGGGACAAGAAAAAAGCATTTCTTACAGAGACATTTTCCAGAAGCCTGCCTATGAAAGTCTCTCTCTTTCCACCTCTAAACATGAGAGATCCATCTTCAGATCATAAGAAGAGTGAGATAGAAAATTAATACCTGCAGGACTGAAGAGCTCACAACACTCTTCTGGGGTATAGAACTCACAGGAGATGATCAATAACGTTGGTTACAGGCACTGAAGACATTGCTTGCTCTTCCCATACGGCATCTTCCATAAGCACAAAGTGAAGCTTTTCAGTGACACAATTATGATGGGATGCAAATACTTTGGAAGAACCTCCCAGGGTTCTCCAGCCACCTGCTACACAGATCTTCTAGGCTATTACATTCACAGGGAAAACCCCATCTTGGTTCATGCTGGAGACAGGAACTGGACAGGGAATGGAGGAAAACATTCCCTTCAGGCTTGCAGCAGACATTCATGCACAGCTCACACAACTCCAATTTCCAACCCTTCCCATCATCCATGGGCTTCTTTCACCCACACATCTTCAAAACACGTGACACTGGAGGCCCAGTTCCCCACACCATTTCTCTTCACACCACCAATTTCACACAGCCATCTTTCCACCTCTGCACTATGGAAGCGACATTTGCCTGCTCACTCAAGTGCTGGGAAGAGACTTCATAGCTCTAAAAGGAAAAGCCAAGCAGTCTTCCAAGAGAGACCGACTCAGTGAATATCTGCACAGGGGGAATTGTGCCCAGCTTACATCTCCTGCTGGAAATTAAATCTCTCCTTTCCCATCCAGCCAATTCTCTTGCCATGACAAATATTTTACAGCCAGGGCTCATCCCGATCCATTTCTAATAGCTCTACATTGAAAAACAAGAAAAAAACTAAAGCAGTTCTTCCATTTACTCCTCCACATGCAGCCACAGACTTTTCAAAGAGCCACAACTAAAAGAGGATCCTTCATCTTCATAACAGGCACACAGACATCATCAAGGAACACTGCTTGCCAGGCCCAGTTCTCTGTCACAGACAAAGATCAAAGCATGAATGACGCAAAGACTTTTCCTGCTGACCTCCACTACGGATCATGGTGAAAGACAAAAGCTGAGAACAACGGGCAGAGAAAACCGATGGGAATCCCACAGAATTATGATCAAGACACATTCAACCCATTCAAGCACAGGTGCTGTTGGGAAGACACATGAGCCTCATAAAA